ATCAGGGAGTAAATACAAGAAGAAAAAAATAAGAATCAAGGACTAATCCCTGCAGCGCTCCAAAATGAAGAGATCAGGGAGAAGGAGTAACAGAGGAGAGAGTCATCACCTGTGTCAAATGCTGCTGACAGGATGAGCAAGAAAAAAATGGACAACTAGATTTGCACACGGAAGTCACTGGTGACCTTGCCAAAGCAGTCCTGCTAGAGTGGCAGTGGGTAAAAGCCTGACTGCAGTGAGGTTAAGAGAAAAATGAGAAAAGCAAGACTGGAGAAAGCAAGTATAGACAACGCATTTCAAATGTCTTCTACAAAGGGGAGCAAAGAAATTGGACAGGGCAGATGGAGAAAGCAGGGTCAAAAGACTTTCTGAAAATGGGAGAAATAATAGGATGTTTATAGACTAATGAAAATGTTCTTGTATAAAGAGAAAAACTGTTGATGATGGAGGGGAGAGCTGCTAGGATTATGTCCTCGCACAGATGAGAGGAGATGGGATCTAGTGTTGTGGAAAGCTGGCTATCATTTACGGTAACAGGCAAGAATGCAGAATATATGAATGCAAATGCTGATGGTTGGGTAGATGTGGTGATGGAAGTTTACAGAAGTTCCCTTCTGATTGCTTTAATTAGGAGTAAAGTATGATACAAGTTTTTCTTCTCAATTTTATTTATATTTATTTCTGGGGGGATACAGTGTATTGTTTCAGTACATGCATATACTACATGATGATTCACTTAGGATATAGCATAGTTTTGTACCCATTAGCCCAACACTTCTGGATACAAGATTATGAGCTGATAAAGTAGGAAAGGAAAGAAGGTGTTGGAGGTTTGAGAGGAGAGGGAAAGGGTGAAATGAATACAGGAAGCACAGTGTGTTTACCAGGGAGCACTAAGTACTAACTCAAAAGTTCACAAGTTCAATGCAAAACCTAGTTAGCATTTCGTTTTTCTCCAGCCATAATCAGTTATTTGGGAGTATGTTCAGAGTGGCAGAGATATTTAAACAGGATTGTGGTTTTGCAAGCAAGCATAATATGAGAGATCAGAGGAGTTGACTGGTTCCCCAAAATCTTCCTCTTCTTATCCAACCCATGACTACCCAGTTATCAAGTCCTATGGATTCTACCACTTTATATATTCCCCTTTTCTCTCCTCCTGGCTATTCCCAGAACCAATGTCTTAGAGGCCCTTTTTACTTATCACTAGGATTACTGCAATAGCCTTCTAAACCAGGTCTTTTTGTCTCTAAAATGTCCATTCTCCTCCCTGGTTTGAGTTCCACACTGCAGCCAGATGCTCTTTCTAAAGCTCTGATCATGTTTTCTTCAGCTTTGATCATATTTTCTTCCTGCTTAAAATACTTTCACTTTTATAGCTATAAGGATAATGTCCAAACTCATGCTTAGGACATAGAACCTTTTTTTACTGATGCCTATTAAGCGCTCTAGTCTCACTTTTTACCACTCTCCCATGAGTTCTCTGTATTTGGCCAAAGGAACTCCATACATATATATCAAGGTAATTACTACCAACTCTGCTCTAATGGTTGATCTACTGCTCTATTCCCAGCTAGACTGTAAGCTCCTTCAGGAGAGGGATCTTGCTTTATTTCACTTGAATCCTGAGGACCTAGCAGATAGCAGCCTCTCAGAGAATATTGGTTGAACAAATAAATATACACATCACAGTAAGAACCAGAGCATCCCTGAGAGATACAGATATTTATGCATACATTTTTATATGCCATATTATAAAAGCATTGTGTTGAAACATAAATTACACAAATATATCTCATTCATTCATATACTCATTTCACTCTACAAGCACTTAACAATCTATATTACGCACCAGTCAGCATACCTAGGTGCTGGATATAATCTACTTGGGGGAGACAGTTAAGAAATGATTACAGTTAATTTCCTACTTCTATAAGTAGGTCTGAGGAAAAACATTTAAAAAACATATGCTACCAAAATATATACCCAATATACATCTAACTGTGATTAGAATTAGAATACAATATAATATGTGTGATTTTTCTCGACATTTCCCATTACATTAACAGCACTGAGTTGAGTTTTGATGCATTTTGTCCAGCCTCAGTGTACTTTACCCATGTGGCCTAGAAAAAGACCACTGCCACTGTGAGAATAATGAGGACCTATACTCAAAAATGCTTTCCAGCTCAATGTAACAGTAACTCAAAAAATGTGTCACAGAGAGGAGAGATTTAGTTTAATGTGTTTAAAAGTCATCACTACATTCCCACTATTTGGATAGCAGGGAAAAAAAGTGTGTCCATTTTGAGGCTCCATGTTTAAAGATGGTCAAATACCAAACTGTTTTGATTTACATCATATTAGTATTAGTCAACTAAAGATATAGAACTTCTTTGATATCTCTCTCAGTAAGATAAATATAGATACTTTACACCTATGTAATTTAGATATATATTTTAGACCTATGTAATTTTAACATGTATTTTATACCTAAGTAATTCAGATACACATTTTTATACCTATGTAATGTATACCTATGTCTAGTCTCTCTATATATACACAAACATGCACAGAAACACAGATGTATATACACTGACTTGAATTCAACCAGGTGCCTGACATAAAATAACAAACAAAACCACTTTTTAACATAATTAAAAATGACAAAAGCATATTTTCATATTTACATTTATTGTATTCTGTATCTCACTGAATAAAATGTATATTTATACATATCTATAATGACAGAGTTGTCAAAACAAAAACATATATGTTATATCAAGGGGGGGTAAGGGACTTCCAAGGGTAATTCTGACTATATAAGACTTTCACTTTATGTGCTAACTTCAGAATTAATACTCCCATAAGATACTACTGCATCATGTAACAGCATTATTAAGAATCATTTTCAAGCTTTTAAGTATTTGCTTGGTTTCTAAAAAAATACTTAGCTGTGGACTTGGACATTTTTCTCCCTATAAAAAGGATTATTTATATTTGGCAAGATTTTCTGGAGTTAGAAAAAATGTATTAGTTACAATTCGATTTTCTGTCACATAATTTCTTAATTTTGGAAATTTCGCATTTTAGAGTTCTTCTGCCCCTAATAATTTATGATTTAATAATTTATAGTTCAAGTTTTAAAATAAGGTGCTACATATCTTGGTCCCGAGTACTAACAGAAATTCAGCTGAAAAAGAGCAGAACATGGAGTTCATCACCAGAACTAAGGGTAAACCACAAGAGAAAGGTCACATACATAGGTAGTCACTAAATACATGTTCCCCTTGGGCTTGGCATAATTCCTCGGTCCCTGAATTTACAATCTGTTTTACAATACTATATTTAGAAGAAAAGAAAGTGGAAATGTGCACATACAAACTAATAGGGTTAGTTCTCCCAAGAGTACTAACAGAAATTCAGCTGAAAAAGAGCAGAACATGGAGTTCATCACCAGAACTAAGGGTAAACCACAAGAGAAAGGTCACATACATAGCTAGTCACTAAATACATGTTCCCCTTGGGCTTGGCATAATTCCTCGGTCCCTGAATTTACAATCTGTTTTACAATGCTATATTTAGAAGAAAAGAAAGTGGAAATGTGCACATACAAACTAATAGGGTTAGTTCTCCCATTCCTATGACTGTAGTAGGAAAATTTTTGAAAGACAAGTCATTGGATCCACTTTTTAAAATAATACTTAGCACCTATAGGCAATTAATAACTATTACTTAAAGAACTATCAACTTATCAATTGCATTAACTTCTCCCTCTTTCTCTCCACATTTCAGTGGAGAAAAACACATAGTGGCTCAAATACAATTCCTCAGTTAAATATTTGAGGTTGAACATCAACTAGTATTTCAATATATCTTTATCTTTAGTGCTCGTTACTGCCAATAACCTTCAGTTCTCCCAAACCACTTATCATTTAATCAAGACTAAGACTGAAATTTTCTTCCTCCAAGAAGTATTTTTAGGTTAGCTCCATCTACTCTGATTAATCCTTTACTTTTATTTCAAATGGATATCCAAATTATTTAATTGTTTTATAGAAATTTAACTTAAAGAGCAAGCAGAACATTAGCATTAGCGGCTTAAAAATACTTTCAATGTCTCTATTTATAAATCTAATCATTATAATAATATCGAGTATAACGTGTCATTTCTTTATAAGAAGACCATTTATCCCTATTTAGTAAATGCCCTTTAATTATCACCTGGGGAAAACAGAAAGACATTGAGCAACATAAAAATAGCATAGTTTTGTTAGATATTACAAAATTCTCATAAAGTTGTACCTTTTCATGTTCCCATCAGCAATATATGCGAGCGCCTACTTCCTAACAGGTTTCCCAACTAAGCATGCCCTAAGCTTATGCACTTTTGACAATCTACAAGGTAAAAATGATCTCTGTGTACTTTAACTTACAGTTCTCAATGAAGTTGAACATCTTTTTATATAATGCCATACATCATATCTTTTTCTGTTGAACTATCCATTTATTTTGTTCATTTTTTTAAATCATGATTTACGTTCTCAATGAAGTTGAACATCTTTTTATATACTGCCATATATCATATCTTTTTCTGTTGAACTATCCATTTATTTTGTTCATTTTTTTAAATCATGATTTACATCTTTCTTTTAATGGAAAAATAATTCAATAATCCTAAAATGATACTTTCAGACTTTGTTTTAAAAAATAAGGAAACATGAAAAATGAAAGAATAATGGATGAATAACTGAAAAGAATACTAACATCACTAAAATTTATGCTGTCATATTCTATACTGTGTTCCAAACAGCCCATTAAAAAAAGTGGCAGGTATGTCAAGTGAGACGAATGCTGAGAAAAATGCATTCAAGTTACAATTACATGATGCCAACCAGTGTAAAAGTTAATCCCACAAATAACCAAGTCTCTGAGGAAAGTCAAAGTTTGGAAACAGATGATCAAGAGGCATTTCATTGCAATGGTTTTATTACACCCACCTCGCAAGTACAGGTAATCCTTCGAGGATGAGGGGCTTCTTGTTGCAGCTGATATACTGTGAAAAGGTTGAAATAAAAGATGTCAGTTTCCCTTATGTAGAACTTATGAATATGTTAGGAATAACAAGCTGGCTGCTTTTTATGTTCATAAGAAAACTGGTACAGTCATATTTATTATTAAATTAAAATTTGTTATGAACACAACAAACTAAACCAAACTAAATTTAGTGAAAGCCCAGGAGTAAGCACAAACAGTAAAATCAATCCAGACAACTATCTTTTTGCCTTATAACAAATCAATGCTGGATATTTGGCTTTGTTTTCCATCATCTGGTCATTTATTTTCCCTAATTCTTTGTGAATATATTAAAGTATGACTCTAATATAAACCAGTAATGGTTACTTATATTTTAAAGCACATTAGTAAGTGTCAAACTTGAAACTAAAATTAGAATTTAAAGGCTAGAAATAACAGATACACTGTTTTTCTCCCGTTTATACTGCAAACATCTATCTTCACAGATAATCTCCCCTAAAAACAAAAACCACCACTTATTCAACTAAGGCAAATAGAGCAAAAAGGAAGAAATCAGATACTGAAAAAACTTGCCAAAAGAGCAGATAATTTTTAGGGTATCTGAAATTATATCGCTGGAAATTATACTGCTACCATGACCACCTTCTAGCCTCACTTCAGACTTTTTAATTTAAAATGTTTATCTCCGATTACCTGTTTATCTTTTGATTTAAAATGTTTAAATATTTTGATTTAAAAGTTTATCTATCTTGAAGAGATTTTTTTTCCCTATTTCTACATACAAAGGTATTTCATAAGTTCATGGAAAGATTCATATATTTTAATTCTATTTTTCCACAAACTTCTAAAATTACCCTCATATATAATCACATATAACTGAATTTAAATTAATGCCGTAGTTAAATACTTAGACATTTTGTCAATGTAATATCAAACTATCCAGACATCTGGAACTGCCATATAATAAGTGCCTCAGATTTCAACTGGATATCATCATATAGACTCCACCTTTGACGACATTCGCTCATATATGTCATGGAAACTGCCCTGTATTACTATGCAAAGATATATAGCATTGTGGTTAAGAATTTGAACTCTTGAACCAAACCTCTTGGAGCCTGAACACTGGGGTTCTGCCACTAACACTGCATACTTTACCTCAGTTTCCCTCATTTGTAAAATGAGGATAACAATAGTTTTCTACTTCAGAGATAACTGTAAGTATTAAATAACTTACTATAGTAAAAGATTTAAAATAGTCCCTGGCACATAGTAAATACTCTATAAAGATTAGCTACTATTATATGTAAGTAATTGATATTAATTCAAAAAATTCTTTATAATAATATTTGATTACCAGGATGCATCTTGAGTTCATCACTAAGACACAACATCAGGGTAATGTTATAATTTAAAAGGAACCAAGAAGATACAGCTTTACTGTTTAAAAACCAAAAAGCAAACAAAGAAATTCCTAAGTAATGTTTGGCATTCTGCTGATAGAAATGTATTCCTTTGCCTTTTTTCCTGGTTGCAAAAATCCCTAGGAGAGATAATACATTAAAATAGTTTTAGATACCCATATTTCATTGTGAAACAATTTCCTACGAATACAGTTTCACAGATCAAAGGGATGATGTGAAGGAAGTGATTCTGAGATGGCCAAGGGAAGAAACAACATTGAAATCACATTTGTCTGGCTCTGATAGTGAGATCACACATGTATCACCCAAAATCTTTGTAAATCTCCATCCTCCTAAAGAGAAGCCAAAACATAATTTGTAAGATGGGAGGATTCTTCAGGTCTGTTCTTCCATATTGGTAACTGTAACTATAGGGTGAAAATTTAGTTCACATCTCTGCTTTGATCAGTAATTCTCAAAAGATTAGATATTTTCCTTTGTCAAGAAAATGCACTGTGAAGTACTGTCACATATGAAACCCAATTATGAGAACTGAATGACAGTCAAGAAGAACATTAAAAATTACTAGAGAAAGTAAAAGGTTGATTTTGATTCAAAGCACAAAAACTATATATATAGTATCTGGTTATCATCAGTAAACAGTTACCTATTCAGTAAGCAAACATTAAGAAACGCCATTATACCCGGTGGCGCACTGGATAGTGCGCCGCTTGGGAAGCGCGGCGGCGCTCCCGCCCGAGAGTTCGGATCCCACATACAGACCGGTTCCCGCTCACTGGCTGAGCGAGGCGCGGGAGCAACACCGAGGCTTGCGATCCCGTTGCCGGTCCCCGGTCCGGTACGGGGGCAACACTGAGGCAAACATCCATCCTTGTATGGTGGGGGGTGGCGAGAACCTTCTTGGGAGAACCTGATACATGTTGTTTCTTGGGATTTGCACACATACGTGAGTTTATCAGCTTGCACTTCTTGGCTTCTTTACTGTGCAGGGAGAAGGCTAACTAGAGCACTTTGTGATGTCGGGAGGATAAGGAAGGGCAGTGGGGAGGTCTGTACTCACACTTTTATTTTTATTTTTATTTTTTTCCTTGTTTTTGTCTTTTTTCATGACTGGCAACGAATCGCAACCCTCAGTGTCGCGCCCGTACTGGACCGGGACCGGCAACCCTCGGTGTTGCTCCCGCACCATCCCTCGGTGTTGCTCCCGCACCTCGCTCAGCCAGTGAGCGGCCGGTCTGTATGTGGGATCCGAACCCTCGGCGGGAGCGCTACCGCGCTTTCCAAGCAGCGCACTGTAGCAGTGCGCCACCGGGCCGGCCCTTTAAATATCTCAATCCATTTCAATTTTATTACCATTTTGAGAATTTTTTTTTTTCCTTTTTGTCTTTTTTCGTGTCCGGCAACCGGACTGCAAACCTCGGTGCTGCGCACGCACCTCGCTCAGCCAGTGAGCGGGAACCAGTCTGTATGTGGGATCCGAACCCTCGACGGGAGTGCCACCGCGCTCTCAAGCGGCGCACTGTAGCAGTGCGCCAACGGGCCAGCCCTGAGAATTTTTTTATAACTAAATTTAAGTTGCATCATAGAGAAGATGCTAAATGCATTACAGTTTGTCAGTCCAAAAGACTGTCAACTATCAATTCTAAACCAGATATATATAGGTCTAGCCTCAGAATTAAACAAAATTATTAAGCTCAATTATTAAGGTCATAGTTACTACTCTAGTTCAATTATTTAAAATTCCAGTCGCTCTTAATAAAATAAGGGTATAAAAGGCTTGTCAGTTTTTAAAATTTTTCCTGATAAAAAACGTAAAGACTCCTGAGTAGATGAACTCCTTAAGGAACTATAAATAAATACCTTACTGGAGATCACTTACAGCTAGCTGTAAAATTATGAAATTGTTTGAGAGTGGCAAAGCCAAAACAAACAAAAAACAAACAAAAAGATTCAACCTAATGATCATTTTCCCTAGAAGCAGAATTTTGACAAACACATATAACAATCTATATGATTATCATAATTCATTGTTAGAAGGCAATTTTTATGTGTTTTCTTGTTAGTTAAAATTTGCACATATTCAAATCTTGGAAAATTAACATCATGATTTTATAAGAAAAATTCATATGATCAATTAAAAAGGGACCTTTCCACTTGGCCTTAACACAGTTTAATAATAAAATTTCCTTAAATCAGAAGTTCTTTCATTCGGTGGTCAGAAGATAAAAACCCATTCTAATAATTTTCTCCGAGTTTCTCCCATGACGGTAGAGAGATCAGGCATTGAAGTCACTGAGGGAGATTAGAAAACTCAGTAACAGAATTTTCACCAAAAAACTGTCACCAACTATAAAACTCAGTTATAGAATTGTCACCAAAAAAAGAAATATGCCATTTTTTTTAGATGAATGGTAGCTACTGTAAGACATATGAAGATACACAAAATATAAATTACATATATTTCATTTACTAATACTCTTTGAGGGAAAAATCAACACAAACTCAGTAATAGTCTGAGGCTTCATAAATGTTCTTACATTAAAAATGTTCAGGGCACAAGTCAGAGCAAAGAGGACAAAAATAAACTAAAAACCAGAAAAAAAAGAGAGAAGAATTTTAAATAGGCTTCCAGGCAATGAGATTATAAGCCAAATCTTTAGGAGGTAAAGAACATTAATCATTTTTACACATTCTTAGAACTATCCTTCCCAGAAAAAAAAAAAAAAAAGAAAGACCAGCGGGGGGAAGGGAAAGGATCTACGGTAATACTTTTAGAGAATATTCATATTTTACTTATTATAATTAGCCCAAAGTAGCCTTCTATTAAAATAAAACTATCTGTTGTTCTGGGAACATAAAACCAATGAGAATCTGAATTGCTGCTCCTTCGGGTAGCAAATTTCAGCAATTTAAAAACATTAAAATTTAGAATAATTCTCAACATTTATAAAGATGTTAGTAATCTATATTTAAAGTACAGGTTTCTTAGGTTGCTTATTTGACTCTATTGATAACAAACAAAAATCTATGGTACTGTTTCCACAACAGTACATTCATAGATTTTTAAAAATTACTTTGATTATATTACCCCTATTTCTACTATTAAAAAATCTGAAATACCTTTTACTTGAAATAATATTCTCTAGGGAACAAGGAAGGGAAAATAAAGGACTAGGAACCTAGATTCTTTTGAAGAAATATTTATTCTAATGCAAAGTTTAAAGATCAATATAGAAATCAAATGCTCCTCTTTTATATTTGGGGAAAGCAAATTTTTTTTTTTAAAAAGACCACTTTTTTTTTTTTTGCTTCTTTTCACCCATTTTTTTCTTCCAAGATAGCCTCCTGATATATTCCTTTTTCCATATACAGAGTCAGATCCTGAGAATTAGACTGCTTGAATTCTTGTTAGCTTCTCCTTGCATTAGTTTTATCAGCCATTCTTAACAAGCGGTCTTAAGTTCTACTACATGAAATTCATGCAAGCTCAGTAGGATGAGATGCATTCCAGACATACAAACCATTTATTTACAGACTTTGTAGAAACACTCATTTTGCCACAATTACTTCTATGCTTATTCCCAAAACTTGTTGTGAATTCATTTTTCAATAATGGGTACAAAATGGAATGAATCTTTATATCTAATGATCCCAATATTTTTATATTACTTATAAAGCACTATAACACACAATTAAATTTTTTTGTATACTTACAGTAAGATTTCCAAACAGGAGGTCTATATTCATCGGTATCTGAAAAAATAAACATCGAATTAACATTACTGAATACTTACATTTTAAAAAAGATATTCTCATGATTAATTCATTTAACATATATTTGTGGATGTCTATTTGTCCTAGGCATTGTGGTAGGCACTAAAGGGCTTTCAAAGGTTTTTTAGTCTTGATCCTTACTTTATGGGGGAAAAGTTTTACAAAGATGTTCAAAGATAGTTACTGTATTTATCCAACTGCTAATCACATAAAAACATTAAGGTTAATTTTTACTGCTGGCACTCAGTTCTTACAGTCAATAAAGTCTTTGTTACTTTGGGCTCAGTGATTATTTCACTGAAAGATCTCTGTAATCACTGGAATTTTTCTTTTGCAGTCAAATTGATCATACAACAATTTTAATCCCAGAAATGTTGAGTATTTCTATATTTCTCCCAATTACATTTGGGGGGATTCTAGTGTAACTGGTTTTACTAACACAAGGAGAGAAGAGCAGCAAGGTACAGACCTTAGTCCTCATACATCCTGGACAATCAAAACCAGGAAATGAGAAACACTTCAATGGAAGAGAGTGTATCTAGGGAACCACAAAGAACATGAGGTGAACATCTGCTCTTCAAGTCCATTTCCCTTCACCCTGCTTGACTGCGGATGTGGGTGACAGTGTGAGGAGACCATGGAAAGAGATAGAAATACAAGCTCATGAGGGAGATGGAGTAATTAGAGAAAGGAGGAGAGGGACCAGTGTGGTCTGGCTTCTCATTAGCAAAGCATAGCTGAGGGGTAATTTTGCCAGCCAAAAGCTCTGCCTGCGCAAGACAATGTAGCCAAATCAGCAGACACAATTATCATTATTATTCTATTATGGTGAAAGGCATGGCCAGCCACATCACCTGGCTCTGCTGGCATCCATTAGGGAATCTGATCCTAAAAATCTTGGTCTTCCAAGGAGGCAAGAAAATTCTTGGAAAGATGATTGAGAAGGCTGAATCTGTAGCCCAAATAAAATGGTCATCGTCTCAAAACATTTAGCCCCCTATTTTCAACCTTTAAAATGCAATCTCACACTTCATTTACAGTGTCTTATCATAAACCACACAAACAGTTTGAGTCGGAAGACTATAGCAAGACTACTAATAATGGGCATAAGAAAATAAAAGGGAAATTCTAAGTCACGTGGAAACTGCTTGGCGCCCAGTAGAAATGTTCAAATATGTTTGCTTAAAGAACAAACAAAAGATTACAAGAATAAATAATGAATGAAGCAACGCAGCAAATACACTTGATTCTCATTACTTGCAGTAGTTATGTTCTATAAAGTCACCTCAAACACAAATCTAGGAAAAAATACTGAACAATTGCTCCTAGGGGAAACACAGGGTTAGGTTCCTGTGTGCCTCTGGTCCCAACATTTTTATCAGCCAATCAGCACATAACCTTGTTTTATGTGTGTTTCTCTTTAAACGACACCTAATTGAGTATATACTATTGATTTATTAACACTGAACTCCAGCCAAAAGCACTACAAGTCATGCCTGTATGAAGCTTATCTAACACATGTATTTTCTCCATAAGATACATTATAGTCTTCTTGCACTTAGGAACCCAGACAGCACTTCAGTACTACACTTGGGGGCCATTTTAAACAACAAAACTATCAACCAAAACCCCCCACAAAAATGCAAAAACTGTGGCACTAAATAGACCATGAAAAGGATACTTGTTTACAGTATGAGAGCGGAAACAAGAAGGCAGAGCACTGCCTTGTTTGACCACAGCTGGGACCATGCAAGTCATATGACTCAAATTTTTTACTGCTCTGTGAATATTCACAAATGACTGCAAAAGTGCCACAAGTACTTAGGATTCCAAATAAATGTTAGCAAGTAAGCAAATTTGCAAATACAGAATCCATGAATAATGAAGATTGACTGTAAATAGTAAGCAATTATGCAGGCAAACTGCCAGCTCAAGGGAACTCACCTAGTAATGATAAAAAGTAGGATGAAACATGACCTTAATGCAGTGATATACAGATATATACATATGTGTGTTTCCTCTTCTGGGTGGGTGGGGGTGTATGTGTGTGTGTGTTTTGGGGGTTAATTATATTGAAGTTTCTCTCAATAGTAAATCATAATTAATTCAACTGTATTTTTTCAGTACTAGGAAATTTTTGCCTGTAAGCATTCAAGTAATTTTATGACTTCACTGATGATATATGAATGCTGCTATAATGTCATTCACTCCTAAGGAGTATGATATGTGGTCAGTTCAGGGTTTTGAGGAGAGCATAAATTTAGTCTCTTTACGATCATCCATATTGTACGTGTGTCTCAGCCTCCCTGCCAGGATCCAAACCATAAGTTACAGTGGTCAGGCACCTCCTGATCCACCATGTGGAAGACACACCCATGTGAGGCCAGGAAGGGAGCGGGCACTCAACCAGACTGGGACCTGGTGTAGTAAAGAATTTAACCTTGCCCCAGAAGAGGTCTGGCCTTTGCCCCTGGCTCCTAAGAGATAATCTTTGTTTGCCTGGGAGCCTGGGGCTAGCCATAAAGTAACAATGAGATTTAGGATGGGGTTTTAGGACAGAAGTAACAGCTGATCAAGCACATGGACAATCAATGAACCATGCCTATGTAATAAAGCCCCAATAAAAGCTCTCAACACTGAGGCTTGGGAGAGTTTCTCTGGTTGGAAATATTCCGTATGTGTTGTCACACATACATGGAGGAAGACTACACATCTTGACCCCACAGAGAGAGGACAACAGAAGCTCCACATTTTGTATTTGTCCTGGACCATGCCCTTTGTGCTTCCTCCCTCAGCTGATTTTAATCTTTATCCTTTCCCTGTAATGAACCATGACCATGAGTATAATAGTGTTTAGTGAGTTCTGTTGAGTACTTCTAGCCAATTATAGGCCCTGAAGGTGGTTTGGGAAACTCTCCCACAACATGCAATTGGTGTCAGAAGTGAGGGAAGTCTTAGGGATTGTGCCCTCGAACTTTGTAGTTGGCTTTAACTCCTCACAGACCTGTGCAAAGCCTGCACCTATGAGGTGAGGACCTCCTGGAGACGACTTTGACTTTGAAGAAAGTGAGAGAGAAAGAGGCTAATACTCAAAGTCCTAACTCTGTGGAACTGTGTACCTAATGCTAGTCAGGGCTTTCTTACGGAAACGTCAACCTTTACTTGCTCTGTGACTTTAGGAAATACACCACCTCTATGAATCTTAATTTCTTTATAAGATAGAATAACCTATCATCTATAATGGGAATAGAAACAACAAAGGTTTGTTGTGAGGATTAAATCAGGTGTTATACATAAAGCACTTTACACTGAGGAGAACTTTAGAAAATAAGCACCGTCTCCTGCCTTCACCAAAAGTGAATTTAAAAGCACAGTACTACCATATTAGCTTAAAGCTATTGTTATGATTTCAGTCATCTATTCACCTTTTATTGTTTTATTCTTCCATGTACACCTATTCTATCATTCAAGATGCTACAGATCAAAATCATGTGGTCACATAAAATTAGTATTAGCAAATAACCAAGAAATATTGGAAGAAAAGTTTGAATTTCTTTTAATATTAAAACAATTGTAATTATTAATGACATTTAAGGGCACAGTTTAGGTTTTAAAAGTCTTCTCCTAGCAATCTAATTTTGCTGGTGGGACTGTAAACTGGCACAATCTCTCTGGGGAGCATGGTGATAACATTAAGCTTTTAAGAGAATGTAACACTTTTAAGTTTTAAGCGGAAAGCTGAATGGCCTCAGAAAGTGTGCCTCAACCTTTTGATATGCAGAATTAGTTGCTAAAGTCATGGAGACAAATTTTCCAGATCCCTAAATCCTTCTGGAAAGGAAAAAAACATTACCTCAATCTTTGATCCTGAGATTCAAAATTAAAGAGTTCTGTCACAGAAGATACTCGTAGCCCAAACCAAGTTCCACTGGCGAAAGAGACAGATACTCCTAAAATAAAATGGTTTTGAAGAAGGATTAATTGAAACTGGTGATCTAGGGTTACACAAAGGGCTTCTGGGTTCATCAGGGAGGGCAAATTCTGGCACAGCCTTAGAAGGCTGCATGAAGTGTCTCTGACCTCAGCCTCCCTGGCACACAAGTAAAAGAATGAACTAAAAAAAATCTGCAATCCTGACCTTCAGTTAGGGTCACTGCTGTGACCTGAGCCATGGTCTAACCAGATACAGCATCCTAGCAACAGTCAGGTAAGCACCTATCAACAAACAGTGCAGGGCTGGCCTTCAACACTGATAGAAAATGATAAAGAGAAATAGTGTACTATTTTACTGCAGTTCTCTTTCTAGCATTTGCAAGAGGATGGGACCAGTCTGGGACTGAGTAAGCCTCCCGGAATTCAAACTTGGAGGTAGAGACCACCTAAAGAGGAAGATATTGAATTTCCTGCTAATTGGGGCACCGATTAACAGAAAAAAAAAGAAATGAGAGTATATTTGGCCCTGAATATACATGCCAATTCCTTCTGTATACCTTTTGACCCAGCAGTTCTATTTCTAGGAATTTATTGGAGAACAACTAAAGATTTTTGAAAAATGTTAATATAGAAGAATATCACTGCAATATTACTTTTAAGCTAAAAAACTGGATTCACCCTAAATGCCCAACAATTGGAAACTGATATAATCAATTATGATATATTCCAGCTTGAAGACACCTTGACTACGTGAAAAGAACTTCACCTTTTAATCTGTTAGAAAGTCTATTCTCTTTTAAATTTTTAAATCTTACAAACCAGTGGCTGCCAAACTTTTTGGTCTCAGAAATCTGGATTCTTTTTTTTTTATTTTTTTTTTTCCTTTTTATCTTTTTTCGTGACCGGCAACGGATTGCAACCCTCAGTGTCACTGGTCTCAGAAATCTGGATTCTTTTTTTTTTTTTTTTTCCTTTTTATCTTTTTTCGTGACCGGCAACGGATTGCAACCCTCAGTGTCACGCCCGTACCGGACCGGGACTGGCAACGGGATCGCAACCCTC